GTTTGTGTTTGTGTGAGTGCGTGTGTGTGCGTGCGTGCGCGTGGTTGCGTGCGCGTGGTTGCGTGCGTGTGTGCGTACGTATCATGTGGGTGTGCGTGCGTGTGTGAGTGCGTGTGTGTGCGTGCGTGTGTGCATGAGTGCGTGCGTGTGTGTGCGTGCGCGTGGTTGCGTGCGCGTGTGTGCGTGCGTGCGCGTGGTTGCGTGCGCGTGGTTGCGTGCGCGTGTGTGTGTATGTGTTTTAAAAAGACTCGGAAGACTTCGCAGCCTTTTAGCCGGATTCGGTTCGTAGGTAATTCCCGGCAAAAGTCGAGTGAGTTCGCAAAACGAGATTCGAGTGAATTTCGAGAGAACAGATCAGATTTTGATAAGATATTATAGCGACGGGGTGGAGGGAAACAGCTGTTCGTGTATGCGTCGAGACTGCTGTTGCTGCCCCACATATAGCACAGGCTGTGAGCGCTGGCAGGGGACCTGGACGCCATCCCTTAGTATTAATTTATGTTATGTTTATTAATTAATATTAATATATTAATTATAAATATAAAATAAAAATAAATATAAATATAATTATAATAATTAATATTAATATATTCACACTCCTCTCTACTGTTATCCACATGAAACTGGCAAGTACCTTCGCTAACCTTATATATACAATGCCGTATACTAACTACTAGAGTGTGAAACTGTGTAGATCCCATGGTGGCATATGCAGTGTACTAAACAGACTTCTCTGTTGCTAAAACTGAGGTGTTTTTCCACCTGCTTCCAGGTAGATGAAGGTATCAAGCCTATCGTTAGCCTATATATATGGAGCGAGTCAGTATCTTCGTGGGAAGAGAGAGAGAGAGTGGATGAGGCAGCAGATGAGGAGAAGGAGGAGAGAGAGAGAGAGAGATGAGAGCTAAGAGAGAGAGAGAGAGAGAGGAGAGAGAGAGAACAGCAAAAGGCGAGAGAGAGAGAGAGAGAGATAAGAGAGGGAGAGGAAGAAAGGGAGTAGCGAGTGAAGAGAGAGAGAGGGAGAGAAGAGAGAGAAGAGATGAGAGAGAGAGAGAGAGAGAGAGAGAGAAAAGAGAGATAAGAGAGAATGAAAGAGAGGAGAGAGAGTATATTCATCAGCGATGAGAGAGCAAGTAGAAAAATACACTGATTTTAATACCAATACATCTGTCTTATTACAGATAGTACACGTAGCTATACATTTATTTTAGCTAGATGATTGTATATATATAATAGGTGTAGTATCTATATATGACGTATATATGTATTATGTATAGTCTAAATTATGTATATCTATATATATTATAATATATTAATTATATATATATATATATATTATAATAATATAT